CGGGCCCGGCGGCGCGGAGGCGGAGGCGGCGGAGGAGCCCGACCCGGAGGCGGCCCCCGCCCGGCCCTCGCAGAACATCGCCGTGCAGGTGGGTGTCCGCCCCGGCGGGGAGCGCGGCTGCCGGGCCCGTGGGGCGGCAGGGTTTCACCGGGTGCGGGACCAGGCTGGTTACACGGGGCGATTCGGGACCCGGTTGCTTTTGGGGGGGTGGGGGTCACTCGTGACCCGAGCAGGCGGAGACCAGGTGGTGAAGCGTGGCCGTGGGTGCTGCCCGGTCCCGAAGGCGCTGGACTGGCTGTTGTGGCTCTGGGCACTTGGTGAGGCTGCAGAGGGGTTGGGGGGAGTCCGGCAGCAATCGTTTCCCTTCGCAGACCGATTTCAAGACGGCTGACATGGACGTGAACACGGATCAGGATATTGAGAAGAATTTGGTGGGTATCGAAGCCCTGTGATCGGGTCTAGGCTCTGCCACTCGCGCTCCCACACCGCCCTCCCCGGGCAAAGGAGCTGGAGCGCTGCTCTTCCCACGGGGTGTTTTTTTACCTTTTTCAATACCAGCCTTGGCGTTCCAAAGCTGTCCTCTTTAAAGGAGGACATGCGGCACTAGCTGCCGCTGCTGGCGGTGCCCCCCTTCATCCTTTCCAACTGAGGGAGCCTGAGCTTTGAAAGTGGAAGCCGTTAAACTGCGGTTCTTGACAGTGGTGCCCGCTGGGCTCTTACATGCCACTGAGCTTTCCTGCCCCTGTCTGTGCTCTCTTGAGTGTGAGGGAAGGGGAGGGTTCTGCCTAAGTTGCCACTCTCCACTGCAGGACAAAATGATGTCTGAGAGGGCTCTGTTGAAGGAGCGCTACCAGGAGGTGTTGGACAAACAGAGGCAGGTGGAGAATCAGCTGCAGGTACAGCTTAAGCAGCTTCAGCAGCGGAGGGAAGAAGAGATGAAGAACCACCAGGTATTTGGCAAAGTCCTCTTGTTGTTTAACCTGCCCATTAGCACTGCCGCCCACGCGATCGAGGCGGGCTGCTTTGGCCTCATGCGGAGGGGCACGGCAGGGAGCAAAGCAGGCCTTGAGAAGCGGCAGTGACGCACCACATGGCAGTTTCCCTTGCGGACCCCGCTATTTTGCAGCACTAAGGACTGGCCCCTGCCCACATCGGGGTGCTGAGCACTTCAGAACTAATTGCTAACGCAGCATCTTGCACGCACATCTGCTCCTGACGGTGCTCTCGCAACGTCTCTTCAACAAGTGCGTTGTTTTTTCCAAATGAAAGCCAGTGTGGAGTGAGGAGAATTAGCTCCGTGTGATTATTTAGATTTCTGTGGCCGTTGCTCAAGGATCACTAGGTTAAAGGAGTGACTTGCAGGTGACCTGTAGACAAAAGGAGCCATCAGTGTCCTATCAGCTAGATCGAGAACAGAGCAGAACTCGCCGCCCCTTAAAATCCTTCTAAAGGGGCAGGAGAACCTGCGGTTCAGACTATCTGTCTGTCTCCTGGGTCTCCTCATAATAACTGCTATATATCTTGTCTGGATCTACTGCTAAAAAGAAAGATTTTGATGACACGTGTAATTTCATAATCTCTATTCAATTAATCTAAAATAATAACGTATTTAAACTGAAAACCGTTACTTGGGAATTTTGCTCTTTAATTGCACAATGCTTGTTTTACTCTAGGAAATCCTGAAAGCGATTCAGGATGTTACGATCAAGCGAGAAGAGACAAAGAAGAAGATGGAGAAGGAAAAGAAAGAATTCTTGCAGAAAGAGCAGGATCTGAAAGCAGAAATTGAGAAGCTCTGTGAGAAAGGCAGAAGGTATGAGTATGGAAAAGAAAGTGTTTATTTGGGGCGGGGTAGGGGGAAGGGATTGCTTAACCCTCATGTATACCTGATGAAGCAGAAGAGGATCCCTTTAAACATTTGGGAAGCAGCGAGCATTTCAGGGAGCAGCTTAGGTTTCATATGGTTTTGAAGGGATCTACCACAGGTAGAGCACCTTTTGTTTACAGAAGATCTCAAAACAAATGTTTGGGCAGCGGATTATTGCTTTGCCTGTTAGGTGTATGCGTGGACAGCACTTGGCAAGGATAACATGCAGCTCGGCTCTGCGCGTTGCCGTCTTTTGGAATCCAGAGCCTTTCCACAGGAGGCGGGAGTGCTCTGTTGCAGTGCTAGGGGTAGGGTCTCGTTGGCCTTTCCAAGTTGTTCCCCTCAAAATCTCCCATTTTGGTAGGCTGCTTGACTGTCTCACACCAAACAGTTTGAAAGGCTGTCGGCTGCTCTCAGGCTTTGCTGTAAGCCAGGTCGCCTGCTCTGTGCAAAGAATCCTATGAGATTCAGCATGGGGAGGGGGTGGTGTCTAACGCGAGCGAGGTGCGAGTTGTTTGTGAAGATCTGAACGTTCCTTTGGATGGTGAATTTGCACTTTTACGGAGCCATTCTGTCATGTTGTAGAGGTCTGGTGGGGGGTTTTTTGTTTGTTTTTTTCTGAGGCCTCAGTGATGCTTTTGGATAAAACTCCTTTAGTAATGGTTCCAAGTACTCGGCCCCTGTTTCCCCCGAGGGAACGGCTGCGAAGCATGTGTTGTCGGAGCAGCACAGCTCCCCGCAGCAAATTCTGGTTCTGTGCCACAGTCTTTGTGCAGTATCATGATACAGCAAAATTTTTGCTCTGGAGGATGTTAGCGGTTGCGCTCAACCGTTTACTGAATGGTGCAGTCTTCAGAATGTGTTGTCACATTGGGTGCACAGCTGTGCCATTACGTTGTTTAAACTTGGGGCCTCCAGTGTCGGTGGCTGGGCGGTAACACCTTCGCAGTAGGCGACTCCATCTGTCCTTTCTCTCCTGCACAGGTTGCTGAAGGAGCAGGAGGAGAAGGAAAACAAGATTGCTTCTCTGATTGCAGAGCAGTCTGATGAAAAGTAAGGCTCTTCTTTGTTACAGGATGAATACTGTTGAATACTCTTTTCCTTCCAGTCATTTTGTTTTGGAATGAGTCTGATGCTTCTGGTGGGGTGAGCTAGAGAGAGCGGTCTAACAGTGCTGTCCGGTTATGTGCTCTGAAGGTTTTCTCTCCTCTTCCAGCAGGCTGGTGCCCCCGGTCTCAGGCTTAAATCCTCTTTGATCCTGGTCACAAGCAGTCTCCTAGATACTTGTGACACAAAGATCCCATAAGATTAGATTTTATGCTTGGTGGATTGACTCAGCTTGTAACTGCTACCTTCGACTGAATTTCCACTTCCCAGAATTAGGGCAAACCTATCTCTCTGTCTGTTCCCCACAGCCGCCCAGCTACTCTAAACTCTCTGGCACACTTTGCTGTTTTCAAGCTGGGCAGAGAAGCTCCAGGTCTAGGCATAGATGCGGACGTAATGCAGGTGGAAACAGCCAGCTTGAAACTTCTGCAGGATCAGAATGGCTTCGTTCTGTGTGCTGCTTCAGGTCGCTTCCTGGTTCAGACCAGTGCACCCATCCCTGGAGCTGGATGGAATTTTGTCGAGGGGACTTCCCCTCTCCTTCGTTTGCCCAGCGTGTTTGCACACTGGTTGTTTGCGTGCTCTGGAGCAGCTCACTCTTGGGACGGTGACTCACGCAGCCTTGGGAACGGTGGCTGGTGTCATGGCGTGGAAGCTGCCGATCTTCCACGGTTCCACCCCATCCAGAGCTGCAAGGATTGATCGGTTTTGTGGGAGTTTGTCAGCTCTCCTGTTCCACGCCATTCCAGTGCTGAAGCTGACCGGTTCTGTTTCTGAAGCTGACCGGTTCTGTTTCTGTCTGCAGGCAGCTATGGGAGATGGAGCTAGATAAGCTGAAGAACCAGCACAATGAAATCAACAGGAACATTCTCGAGGAGACGGAACGGGCCTGGAAAGCAGAGGTTAGTAGGTGACGCCTTTCCTGCAAAGCACTTGTTGAAGAGAGTCTTTTTAAGATTCCGGGGCGTAATGAATGATTACGTGAAATTCGGAGCAGTAGAGGAGGCGGCTAAGTCCCCCTCTTTGTGGGACAAAAGAAGGGACAAATGAGCATCAGTAAACTTTAGTAGGGACTGGTGCCCTGGTGCACTTAGAATGGTGCTTAGCGAAGAGATTACTGTGGCAGTCTGGCAGCAAGAAACGGGAGCACAAAAACTGCCCTTTGTGTGGGGCCTCTCTCCGCTAGATCCTGTCCCTGGAGAGCCGAAAGGAGCTGCTGGTGTTGAAACTAGAAGAAGCAGAAAAAGAAGCAGAGCTGCACCTCACCTACCTCAAGTAAGTCTCTGCGGCCTCGGAAATGGCAGGGTGTCCCTGCAGGCCCATCTCCTCTTCCTCTACTTAGGCTGGAGGCTTGACTGAAGAAGTTCAAGGTTTCCCAGGGCTTTCTGACTAAAATAATGTGATTCGTTAATGTTGCAAAACAAGGGTATGTGAGGCTGTCCTTACTCCCCGTTACTGTTCATCTGCTGAACGTGTGCCATGCTCTAGACTGAGTGCTGTAGGCATGGCACTGACTGTGGTGTCTGTGTGTCTGTCCACCAGATCAGTACACGCTCTTCTCTTGCGGGGTTCTTTGCCTGGCTGTGAGCCCTTCTTCCTGCCCAGCCGGAGGAGGGGAGCCCTGATGGGGGAAGGACGGAGGGTGTGGTGTATTAGTTGCTCCCGCTTTGCTGCCAGTGAGAGCACAGTTGCAAGTGGGAAAGTTTAGTTGCGCTTGCAGGTCTGCACCACCCACGCTGGAGACGATGAGGCCAAAGCAGGAGTGGGAGATGAGGCTGAACAGGATACGAATGACCAAGGAAAGCGTCCGAGTAAGTTCCCGCCAAACGGCTCCCTGCCTAACACTGAGCAGCTCTTCATGTTGATGCTACTTGGCATGCTTAGTTTCAACCCTCTTTGGGAGAGGACCAAGACCCAGAAGCAGCTGTGTG